AGCTCGCGCTGCAGAACCTACCCCGCCTCTGCCCGTTTCGATCTGGAAGAGCAGCGTAGTGGCGTGCGGTCGTGTATCACTACTGCGTGATGCACGTTAAAGACCCCAGGTTTGCGGTTGTACCGCACTGGCTAAGTTGCTCATCTACAGCTGAGACACCAGACGCCCGCTAAGGCAGACTAACTTCCGGCTGTATAAACATACACACAACAATTTGCAATTAGACGCAGAATAACAAAGAACACAGCGTGCCGCCTCTTTTCTTTGGATGCCTTTTTTTTTTTAAACAAGCACAAGCTCGTGCGTTTTCTCTTCTGAGACGGTTAGAACGGTCGCACATAGAACCCGCGTTTCTCCTACCCGCCCGCTTCCTCCTCTCATTATGTGTATTTGGTTATAACTAAATAAGCTATAATAATGGTGTATTATTCATATTTACTTTCAGTTTCAGTCAGGGAAAAGGAATTTCGCGGGAACCAAAGCCAATAAATGAGCTGCGCTTAGATTATCAGCACTCTAATCCCCGACAGTGTTGTGAACGCCGCCATTTTGGTGCTTGTGCAGAGCAGGCGCAACTGCCGATCGTCATGATTCAAAAGTGCGGCATCCTCAGCATTAGATTCGGTGTTAGAAAGCTCATGTAATGTTGCTTTGTTTTGTCGCAAACTGTTTAAAGTGGAGGACGGAAAAGTGTTTCTTGTGATTTCAGATAAAGCTTCAAATAACTGGCAACCATGATTTTAAGCCACCATAAGGCCACGTGTCGCTACTCTGAACCGGAGCTTATTTAATGACACTATTCATGCTCTTGTTTAAGAAACTTGTAATACCTGGAGGGGCCATGACGTAAGCCCCGTGGATTCCACAAGCCACCCCATTTTGACACCTGCCTCTTCTTCATTGTTCCCGCTTGTGCCAGTAAATTAGCTACGATTCAGAGTAACGACACTTGGCCATATTGTCGCTTAAAATCATGGTTGCCAGTTATATGAAGCTTTATCTAAAATCACAGGAAACGCTTTTTCGTCCCTCACAAATGTTTAAACAACCCGCGACAGAGCATTGCAATATTGCATCAGCTTCCTAGCACCGCATCTAATGCTGAGGAAGTCGTACTTTTGGATCATGATGATCGACAGTTGCGTTTGCTCTGAGCAAAACCCAAAATCGCGGCGCCCAAAACAATTTTGGGGAACGGAGTGCCGATACTTTAAAGCTCATTTTGTGACTCTAGGCATGATGTGAACTCGGGTGTATTCTTCTTTCTTCGTCTTTATTGTTTATTGATTTCAATCATATCGAATAATGAACACATTATATCACGCTACGCTTGTGTAATTATTTGTCTGAGATTTATTAACCTGACCCAGTACTTAAACCATTCAGTTATCGATAGTAAATCTTCCAATATATTTTTTGAATGTGAAGGTAAAAAGACACGGAGACTGATGATGATACAGACGACAACGCCGCCCTCGGAAATGTTTTGAACATTAGAAATCAGCAGTTTGTCTTCCATTCGCCAGGTAGCGCAACAAAACACCCAAACAGTTTTTAATTGTTTTCAAAATTAGCTAAGCTCTGCACCTATTAAGAAACAAAAGCAAGATCATTGTGAAAATTTAATACATCGCAATGTATATCTATTCCAAACAATAAATATTATTAGATGCTAATAAATCTGTTTGATGTCCAAAAAAGGTATGCGTCAAAACAGGTAAGTTTGAAACGCTCGTGAAGCGTTATGACTTCAAAGCCATCGTCCACCTCTTGGGCAACCATTGTAGCTCTAAATGTTATAAAAGATTTTATAATAGTTTAATTATTTCCTCAGCGGCATTTGAAGTACCATGACTCGAAGCACAAAAAAGTGCTTCGTTTGATATAAAATATCTAAACAAAACAATTTCACACAACATTAAATTTTTTTCTGCATATTATCAATTATAAGCACTACATTTGTAGCTAATTTCATTGCCCTAGCGCGTGTCATTAAAAACATATTTGTGCTGAAATATGTAAATTTTAGGGCAATATTTGGAGGGATGAAAAAAAACAAAGTAGTGCAAATACCAAAAAAGTGTATCGTTACATCCTGCTCCGACATCATCTTAACAAAACTGCTATATTGGAACCGTGCTATCCTTAATTGTTCGTTCATAAAACATGAACTAGCGGAGCAAGTGGGGGTCCGCGCCATCATATTCGCAACGCTAAAAATGCGCATGAACAGTAAAAACCAACACATACATAATATCAAATGAAAGAGTATTGCATTGCCTTTCGAATGACATCAATCCCACAAAACAGTCTTTAAAGGAGATAAGTAATGACCTGCCAAAAAGTGCCTAAACTGCCACATTCAGTGGGACCGTGGCCTTAAGCAATTCAAGATATTTTTTAGGGGTGCCCAAATATTCGTGTTTCGTACTCGAATGAAATAATTATTGCCCGAATAAGTTAATTTGTATTACTAGTATTCGAAGTTTCAAATATTTCGATACACCGAATATTCGAAACAGAACTACTGACAAAAGCTCTGGTTCATCCAGGACCGCTGTTCATGTTATGAAACCGTTTACAGAGACCCGTGTTAGATCTAACTAAAGACTCTATTCACATTTCTTTGATAAACAAACCAGTTTTTGTAGAAAGTGGTTTGTCTCCTCTGCTCCACAAACGAAGTAATCATGTCTCCACCTTCTTCGATCCGTTTGTCAAAACCTTTTAACCCCGCACGTCGCCCTTTCAAATGTAAGTATCGTACGTCGTGCAGCCCGCTCTGTACAATAATGACCTGGTCAGCGATAACAGGCCTGATCTCTTTCGCAAAGCCGTCGCTCCTCACTGCGCCAAGAGAGATGCCAGTACTGTCCTCCAGCCCGTTGCTTATACATACGTGGATGGGTGAACTCACCCTTCAGCTGTGTCTCGTGCTTGTTGTTTATCTGTGGTTATTAATACTGTTTTTCTCCTGTGAATGCGCCTGTTTTGTGAGGGAGGTTTATTGCGGAAAAGGCGCCATGGTAACCGAGATTTCAGTTCCACGTAAAAGAAAATCCCCAGATGGTCGAAATTAATCTTTAGACCTCCGATCGGACGCAGGCCAGATACCCTTCGTTGGATTAAAACGTAAAAAAAAGAAGAAAAAAAAACTTTTTTATGTATTTTTATTTGTGCTAGCCTCTATTTCTTATTTGTACGTCCAGAAGAATAAAGGCGTATGACAGTGTTTCCCAAACTCCACCATCACCCTGCGACCCATCAAACGTAATATATTGGCCATGAGGTTCCGTGCTTGTGTTTCGGTGTCGGTTTCGAGAAGAAGTTTTTTGCTTTATTAAAAGTTTGCGTGACTCTAGAAAAATAATGACTAATCTAACAATAAACGAAAAAAAAATCAACAACATTTTTCGGGGGAGTTGTCAGTGTTTTTTTAAGGTTTGACAAAAATTAAATACAAAGGCTACCTTGACGGAAACGACACGATCTAGGATGTTTCTTAGCACGCACTACCACTTTTGCATTCAAAAGATGGTGAACAAAAATTATTTAAAAAGTTAGTTAAGCAATACTTAGATTGTCCAGATTGCCGCATCACAAAACACCTTAACTCGCTCCATAGGGCCCTGAACAATACCAAGTTGGTTCTACACGCGAAGCGTGAACAAGTATTTTTCAGTTTTGGTACAAGTTATAACTGTAACAATATCAGTCGATGTCGTTGGTAAAGCAACCCGTCTTCTACTTGTCTTTCGGTCTAAATATATTTGAGATTAGCTTCAACGAAGTCTATAAGCGGTATGGATATACAGGCACGTGCGATACAAGCGTGAATGGTGGAGTGACCTCTCCCAATCATCTTGCCACTCAACCACTAACTCCTGTATAATGAGGTCGTGGTGCTGGGCCGGAGTGGGGCTCATTTTTGACACGAGTGCCCCATGAGTGATCGTCTGGAACTCGTGTTCAGTCGGTGGCAGGGCGGTTCCCTGCCGAACGGCGACGGAGCACTCCTGTGCACTCGCCCCAAACTGGCCTCGGGTTTGTGACCCAGAAACTCAAGCACTTCGGCTTTGTTATCTAGCCGGTGTTGATTTAACGGCTGAAAGCCAAAGCTTCCGAGGATGTGGAGCTTGTGGTGTGCTTCGTGCCTCCCAAATACCATGGTAACGTAGTTTTTTTTCTTTCGAGAACATAACTTTTGTCTCAGTGCTACTTTGCAGTTACACCTTAAACATATTTTTTCGCGCTACTAATATTAAGGAAATATCTATAGCTTTGAATTTGATCATCTGCCTACAAGGAGCTACCCAGTGACTCTCAGCGCTCAGATTAAATGTTTTTAAGAGAAACAGACATTTTCTGGCTGAGGAAGTGGCATTTTATTTTTTTCGGATACAGAATTGTCTCTACGTATTCAAAATAATTGTAATCTAAGGGCATGAATGACCAGGAATTCTACTAACACTAAATATTCTTTAGGGCCATTTCCAAGCGAAGAGCTTGCTGAAATGTACCAAAGCTATGATAACACGGCCAGTTTTTATACCAATGACTACGTTCCTTAAAAGATAATCGAACCACTGATCGCTCGCTCACTAATGACACCATATTACCGCGGCGTTTGTTAGCAGACTTGTAGTCTGTTTCTATGTTTTCGTGTTACCGAATTACCTCAGTCGCCCAAATTGTGGTTGGCACACTATAGCCTATGTGTCTGCCGCGCCCTCAAACCCCGAATTCAAATTAGATTAAAATGGTCGGAGGTGTTGAAAACAGGCTGCATAATTTGTTCATGCATCCCGAGTTTATTTGTAAGATTAAGATATAGTTGTGCCATAAACTTTAACTGATGCTTTGAAACCTGGAACACGTCAGGGTGTAACGTTATTTAATTACTAAAAATAAATCCAGCCATAAACATGTCTGTATTTAGCGAGTCGTAAAATATTAGACCAATTGTCATGTTGATGTAACGAGACCCTTCCATCCCGTAGATTCGAGCCACGTCATCGAAGAGAGACCCGAGGCCGGGCTCGACGGTGGCACATCCAAGATGAGGTCCTTCTGCGTCTCCGGATTCTCCGACGCCCTGGACTGGAGGCCCATCCTCTTCCAGGAGTCCGCCATCACCAACTGCGCATGCGCACTGTGTGGACTCGTGTCCCTCAAAGCCATCAGGCTGTCCTGTGACCACACGCTCTGCCCCGAGTGCCACGAGGAGTGTTCTCGGCAAGGGAGCACCTGTCCCATCGATGAGGAATGCTTCGGCGACGATGACTGCTACCGAATTGACCTTTCAGTGGGCTTCCTCGCAAAACGCCGAGTGAGCGCTCATGTCATGTTTGTTGTGTCAATTATTAGCAACAGGGAGTTAGTACCTCTTAACTGTCATCATTGCATTGGGAAACTGCATGACCTGTGCTGCGAGAGTGCTGAGCTAGGTTCTTCGCCATTTATGTCCCAGTGGTAACTAAATTGCAGTATCAAACCCCTATCTAGGTTTCATCAAACGTGGGAGCAAAGCAGAAAATACAGCAGCGAGAGTCAAGCCATTCCGAGCTCTCATGCTGCGCACGTCTGCCCGTACCAGTAAAAGCTCCGTTTAATTCAGCATCCTCGCACTTTAAGCTTCGGCTGTTTCGGATTCCTGATCAAAAAATAGAAATGTCGTTTTTTTCGTTGACATTACACTAAGGAGTGGGCTGAAATTATCCTCCTCAAAATGTTTACTTATAGAAACACGTCGGCCTGCGCACTTACCTCTCGGTGCTATGCTGCGTGAAACCGACATCTGTCGGATTAGGCGCGGCACCCAAGGAAATCATAATTAAGGCAACATTAAAATGAGAAACTCAATCAAAACTAATTGTCATCAGTAACAAAAATCTCTCATAATTACAAGTAATCAAGAGATTATGGCTTCGTGTGCCGCAGTCGGCAATTGTTTCTCAGGAGTTCTTCCTCTTAGTAAACAAAAATATATTATCGTGTTATAGGAATTTATTAAAAATAAAGATAATATAGCGACCTTGATGCGCTTTATACGCGCCGTATACAAGTTATATAAATTCTAAGATGTTGATTGGGCAAACCGTTTTTTTATAGGGATGTTTTTACATTTTGCCTATTATGATTTCTTCCCCTTCACATTTGCATTTGCAGATATTTAAAATTACGCATGCTGCAAAAAGCAGGTTCAGAATATCCTAAGCATGTTTTTTTATATCACTGCAATCATGGCGGTAGCAAAGCCAAAGCATTTGGCATAAACGCATATCTGGATTCGGCGTAACTGATCATAGCTAAAGAGCGTTATTCTTCATTTTGTAAGCTACCTCTTTTGTTCATTACCTTCCATTATTACGCAGGCTCACCAGCCACCGCCTACCACAGGCTCACCAACCACCGCCTACCCCAGGCCACTTCGAACCCGACTCGGTACGTTATTCTTCATTTTGTAAGCTACCTCTTTTGTTCATTACCTTCCATTATCACGCAGGCTCACCAGCCACCGCCTACCACAGGCTCACCAACCACCGCCTACCCCAGGCCACTTCGAACCCGACTCGGTACGTTATTCTTCATTTTGTAAGCTACCTCTTTTGTTCATTACCTTCCATTATTACGCAGGCTCACCAGCCACCGCCTACCACAGGCTCACCAACCACCGCCTACCCCAGGCCACTTCGAACCCGACTCGGTACGTTATTCTTCATTTTGTAAGCTACCTCTTTTGTTCATTACCTTCCATTATTACGCAGGCTCACCAGCCACCGCCTACCACAGGCTCACCAACCACCGCCTACCCCAGGCCACTTCGAACCCGACTCGGTACGTTATTCTTCATTTTGTAAGCTACCTCTTTTGTTCATTACCTTCCATTATTACGCAGGCTCACCAGCCACCGCCTACCACAGGCTCACCAACCACCGCCTACCCCAGGCCACTTCGAACCCGACTCGGTACGTTATTCTTCATTTTGTAAGCTACCTCTTTTGTTCATTACCTTCCATTATTACGCAGGCTCACCAGCCACCGCCTACCACAGGCTCACCAACCACCGCCTACCCCAGGCCACTTCGAACCCGACTCGGTACGTTATTCTTCATTTTGTAAGCTACCTCTTTTGTTCATTACCTTCCATTATTACGCAGGCTCACCAGCCACCGCCTACCACAGGCTCACCAACCACCGCCTACCCCAGGCCACTTCGAACCCGACTCGGTACGTTATTCTTCATTTTGTAAGCTACCTCTTTTGTTCATTACCTTCCATTATTACGCAGGCTCACCAGCCACCGCCTACCACAGCTGCCAAATTAGAAAAACTACCAGCACCGTCGCAGCTCTTCTCAGTGTCGACCCATCTCTGTACGTTACTCTTCATTTTGTAAGGCACTTCTTTTTGTTCATTTCCTTCCATTATTACGCAGGCTCACCAGAAAGACCACATCGCACTATGTCGGCAACTATTCTCAAAAAGGTCCAGGTCACCAGGAACTGGTGCCGCGCCTTTCCGGCCAGGGCCAGTTCTCTCGGCGACCTCTTTAAGGGGTATATTAATTTCAAAATTCAGTTGGGCATAACTATAATTCAGAAAGTATTTGAGTATTTTATTGATTCGAAAAATACTATTGCACATGTTGAAAATTCACGATTTAAGACGGTCGTCGCTGTCTTCTCAGCATGCGGCGACCCAATTGATCGTCGAATTATAGAAATTATTAACTTTTTCAATTCGCTTCATTTTCTAAACGTATTTGAGATCGCTCTAACAAAAAATTATTTGATATTATTTTTGAGACTAGTGCCGTCTAAGAAGATGGATTCGAGCGGACTGTCCCGTGTGATCGGCTTCGCTGACGAAGTCATATCAGACTACGTGGGCGAAGACGAAAATGCATGGGACGAGTCCCTCGACATCGCGGCCCCTCCACCTCCATCGGATACCGCGATGTTCCACGGCATCTTCGAGGTGCAAGATTTGGACTATCTGATGACAGAGATGGGGAGTCACCTGGACCGGACCACTTCGTGATCCGACCTGCGACGAGTCATCGTTCGAAATTGCAACAGAGCGAAATATTATATTGACGAAGAAAACAACGGAATTCATTATTAAATTCGGAATAAAGCATGATCGTATGACAAGAAACTTGTGTTTTTATTCTGCCACGCCCCGTGGTGTGTACATACACATCTGTTTAACGCGATAATACAAAGCAAAATATTGGGGGTAGTATGGGAAAAAAAATCTCTTTGTCCGTCGGTCCCTCTGAAACAACGGACACCAAAACAAAAAACGAATAAGAATGTGGAGCATCGGAAATTTATCTTTTTCTATCGCTCTATTGGGAGACAGTCAATTGCATTAGGTCTTGGATATGTATTAAACTTTACTATGAGCTTTCATTTGTAAGGCCAACCACTTCCATTCCAATCCGGTTTTTGCGAGCTTATGAGATGCTCGCAAGGGCTCTCTGCTTTTTGTTTTTACGAGAAATTACACTAAGGAGCAAACACGCCTGTGAGGTAGCAATTACCTAGCTAGATTCAGCTACAGAAAAAATGGGACACAGCCTAAAAAAACACACCCACTCCCCTGGGTGTGTTTAAATGACCGCAACACGCTGACCATGCCTCTGGAATACGTTCTTTTACGAATCCGAAAGAGGTATTGATAAAAACCCTCGACCGCATTGCACCTCAGAAAAAAAAGAATTCGAGCATACTCATGGCGATCAAAACAGCCTACTTGATCACCAAAGGCACTAGCGAGGAAGAGAGGAACGCGGAACTCGAAGCAAATATAACAGCCTACCGAGCCGCTGCCAAGGAAATTGAAAAGAAGATACGAGAAAAGGAAGACGGCGATCTACCCGGCCCTTTGTGGCAATTTCTATGCACCTTGATCTATCCGATTTTTGTCGTGTCTGGGCTCTATGTATGTGCAATCTCGAGGTTAGCCAAAGCCACTATAAACCTGGCAAGAGACATGTGGCGAGAGACCTCCGGCAAACTAGAGTACGATTGTTTCGTGCGTAATTCCGGTTGGTCCATGATACCCTATACCGCCATGTCGGTGTACATTTACTATTGCATCTACACTACCTTCTATTAATAAAAAATGCATGGGACACATTTGGACGCACCACATACTCAAGGCCGCATTCCACGAGGGTGACGTTACAGACACACGGAATACTCCAAGGGGCGCCCGACGACCAAGGGCGCCTACACTGCCTCCAAAAGCAGAGAAGCGGTCTACGTCCCGTCAAGTACTGGACGCTCCGCTATTTGTGCCACAGGGAAGCGGAAAAACTCGAGCGAGTATGCGAATAATAAAAATGACTAATGAAACCCAGAAAGTCTACAGACTGAAAGAGTCATCAAAAAGAGGAGCCGCGCTCCCGTTGGAAACTGCAGAACTGCGACCGCCCAAAGTTCCTGCGGCCGCCCAGCCCTTTGGAATGTGTCGATGGAGTCGAAGTTCCCGGGCGGTCGGAGGTGCGAGCGACGCCGACGGAGGCGATCGCCGAAATCGAGGTTGAAGCCAACCGGTGAAGCACTCGAGTCGCCCCCCGACCAGGGCAAGTGCATCGCCCGCTCTGCAACAAAAGGAAAGGAAACGATTTTAAGACTCGACATCCCTCCAGACTCGGAGATTGATGAGAAAAGGTTAGCGTCACCGCGACCCCCCATTAACTCCACAATCGCCTTTATTCTGGGCGGCAATGACGATATTAGCGACACCGGTAGCGACTGGGACGAAGTGAACGCCGGCGAAGAAGCGAGTGCGTCCGACTGCCCCTTGGACTTCTCTGTGACGCCACTGTTGAAAGAGCTTTTTTCGGGGTCCGTGCGATCTCGGCCGACGAGGATCTCCAACGAAGTGTACTGCGTAGGACTCGGGGCGGCGAGTTCGCCGCATGTAGACGACGCAAACGACAGATGGAATCGGGAGTACGACACCGACCAACAAGCCCAGCATCGAATCTCAAAGGTGCTTCATCCATTCATTCATGTACCTTTCCAAAAAGCGGAGCCGAATTTATACGCACTTAGGCACTTTTGACTGAAGTAGTAACTGTCGATCGATTTCATATGGTACTCTACATATTTTCTTAATGTGTTCCAATTTTGGTCCAGGTGAATTTTGAAACCGGAGACGCCTTTATGAAAGTCCATGATGCAGACGATGTGGATCGCAAGGGATCTTGGGAGCAGATGGCCATTGACCGAAAACGCTTCCAAACACGGGTTGCGTCGACAGAGGCTGTGCTGGCACCAGTCTTCTCCGCCGAACATCGCCAGAGGACCTTCGGAAAACACCACGCAGCATCTGTCGACTGATTTCCAAAGCTTCCCTGTAGCCGAGCTGATGATTGTTTCGTGCCTAACTTCGTTTGGTCCTTATGACCCCCCCTATAGCGACATGTCGGTGTACATTTACTATTGCATCTACACTACGTTCTATTAATCAAAAACACATGGGGGACATTTGGACGCACCACATACTCAAGGCCGCATTCCACGAGGGGCGTTACAGACACACGGAATATTCCAAGGTGCGCCCGACGGCCAAGGACGCCTACACTGCCTCCGACACCAGAGAAGCGGTCTACGTCCCGTCGGACAAGAGGGCGGCCGTGCAGTCTTTCCGCAAGTCTCTCTTTATTGACGAAGACCGGGTATTTGATCCACCGCTGACCGACCGGGAAGTTAGCATTCGCCTCAACGACGACCGAAGAGGAGGGGGAGACAGGTTCGTCTATGCCTTCGAGATCGACAATCGACTCGTCGAGGAAACGAACCTACTATTCGCCAGGCACGTGCCTCAAGTACTGGACGCTTCGCTATTTGTGCCGCACGAAGCGGAAAAACTCGTCTACCCAATCACAGACTCTTATCCGGCCGTCTGTTGGGTGACGCCCATCTTTTGCCTGTGCGCCTTTGCCGTTCTGTTTTCGAGCGAGTATGCGAATAATAAAAATGACTAATGAAACCAACAACGTCTACAGGGTCATGCTTCAGAGCATTTACTTATATAACCGAGACTTGCACGATCGACTATCCGACGTTGAGAATGGTTTGATAGTCGTTGGGATCTTATCAATACTTCTGTTTTTTGCTGTCGTTTTTCTCGCCTTTCTCGTATACAGAGAGGGCGCGTCTTTGATACATAATAGTAAATAAGAAATGGAACTACCGGTTCTCGAGCGATTAGACTTGGGGCAGGCGGACACAGAGCCGTCGCCTTCTGCATTCGGAGACTACATCGACGTCGGTTTGGACGTGTGCCGCTCCATAGACCCCACGATCCTGGTCTACGTGTCCCGGTACTTTGCGGAAAATCACCACGTCCAAGATCCGCCCTGCGAACAGGTAGACGCCAAGGACATCGTCCTGGTGTTTACGTTCAAGGCCACGACCACCGTGGACGACGACACGCGCTACAAGATGACGATGGTCGTAAACTTTGTGAACGCCTGTAGAGACGTCGTAATATCCGACATGATGTACAGCCGACGGCAGATTTTTCTACAACTCGAATATAAAAAGAGACTGTACGGCGGTCGTCACAAGTTTACAAAGACTCTGGGCCTGATCGACTACGTACTCAACGGCTACCTCAATTCCAAATCGGGATTTTACAAAATTTGGTACGATGATTACGACGTGTCCAAAGAAGACCGCGTAGCAAAGACGATAAAGTACGTGGAGGGTCTAAAGTACAAGGGCGTCTACAAGCAACAGGATTTTGAAAAATTATCACCTTCGTGTGGCGAGCGCAAGTGGATGAATTTGAGAAACGCCGTCATTTGCAACGGCGTCGACACGAACAAGTACTATTGTTACGTCACATACCTCGGTTGGGACCGATATGACTTTTACATAGTGCCGAGATAACCTTGACAAAAGACTACCGCCGTCTACGAAAAAAAAATAGAATCGCGAAATACTCTACTCATCTACCCTCACCTCCCCCCCTACACCGTCCACGCATGGTGTGATATTACGTGAGCGGCTCTCATTCGTCGGCTGATAACACGTGGGCTTCTCCGACGCGACTGCTTGTACTTACAGCAAAGTTAACCCTGCCCTCTCCCCCCACATCGCTTCGAGCCAGCCCGAGAGTAGCACCATGTCCATCCTGAAGAAAATTTCCACCGCCGACCAGTGGGCCTCCAACTACGAGAATCTTCAGAAGATGTTCTCGTATGACGATTTTTTTAAACCCTACGTGGATGTGCCAAAACATCTCGGCGCCGCCACGAAGCACGTCCTCCAATATTTTATAGAGTGCGGGCACATTGTCTCCGGCAATGACAACTGTTTTATCAAGAACTTTGTGGTCGCCTTCGCAAACCCAACCGTCGACCCGGTGGATCAACGCATAGTCGACGTGATTAATATCATAAATGCGTACCATTATCTGAATGTCTTCGAGTTGGCGGTGACAAAGTACTATCTCTTGATATTTGTGCGGATCGTGCCGTCGAAACGGACGGATGCTGTCGGGCTGCGGAGAATACTCTGTTTTTTACACAGCGTCATCACCAGCTACGTGGGAAACCACCACTTCGAGTGGAGCGAAGACTGCGACGTGTTGGCCCCGCCGCCCCCGTCCACGATCCCCATGTACGAACTGGACTACAGGGGGTTTTTGGAAGTGGTGGACACTGACGTTTTCGTGGCCGAGTTGAGAAGCCAGCTCAACCGGGAGCGTCCATGGACGACCCTGAGGAAACTAGTCGTGAGACACGCCGACACTCCAAAATATTATATCGAGAGGGTGCGCAACTACGAGCGTGCGGTGATTTATTAGGAAAATAAAAAGAAAACACTCGCAAACCAGAAACTGTGTCTTTATTCCCACAAAAACCAATCGTCCGGGTGGAAACGGGCGCATTCGTCTGTCTTTTCGGAAGGCAGTAAAGTTGTTTCCAACGCGTAACAATAGGCGCGGTAAAACGCTTTTCGAAAGGGGCAAACACCTGCGCAGCGCAATTTTTGCTTCATACTAAGTCTTATATCGACCTTAGCACATCTTAATGTCAACGCTCTGGGACCAGGTGCATTCGTCTCTACCTTTCCGAACAACAGACTTCTGGAGGCGTCAGCTAAGGCGGGAGGTAAAACATTCGCTTTAAAAGTAAAAATGCATAAAGTCGTTTCCAACGCGTAACAATAGGCGCGGTAGAACGCTCTTCGAAAGGGGCAAACACCTGCGCAGCGCAATTTTTGCTTCAT